TTCTTCCCAGTCCCGAGCGTTGGTAGATTTCCAAGGGGAATTTAAAACTCGGAGTGGGCATCGCTGTGCTTCCGCGCGCTCCGTGTCTGCTGGACACTGGCCGCACTGTTTGCACCTCGTCCTGAGGGCCCGCGCATCTCCTCATGCACTTATTTTGCCACTGTGGGCATTTAGATTCGACTCTTCCAAAGTGCCCCCCCCCATTGTCAAGTCTATGACTTCCGTCCCTTCGCTGAGCCATCATCTCAGGGGTGCTTAGGCTTGGTAGGAAGGGGCTCCCGGGAAGGCTGGGTGCAGAGAGCCAGAGTGGAAGAGCTGCGTGAACAGGTGTCCGGGGAGCATCCCCTGGACGGGGCATGTGCTGTTACTCACCCACTTCTGTTCTCTTCCTCTCCCTGTCCCACCTCCCATCCCCGCTCTCAGCGAAGGCAAGGGAGAGGGTCTCGGCCCACTGAAGGGAAGATGATTTTAGTCCCTTTGCGCTAGGATGTTCCCCTGGCATTTACTTGCAGTTATGAAGCCACCTTTCCCTCCCCGCCCCAGGCACCCCGAAGTACACTCCGCACCACGTGACAGCCGATACGCCGAGGACTGCTTGTCTGCAAGTGGGGCAGCCTGCTTCTGCCCGTGGGCACTGGCAAACCCAAACTTCTGTGAGCTGTCACTTGCCTCCAAAATGTAAAGGACGACTGTTTCACCCCCAGGACCTTGTTTTCCTTCACTCTCAGAACTTGGCTGGGCCTGCAGCATGCTTCACAATTGTCACCGCGGTGGTGTGAACCGCACTCACACAACTAACAGCAGGCTGAGCCCATCTGTCGGCTGCTACCTGTCGTCACGGTGTCGCAGTCACACAGTGACGCAGGCGCAGCGTACAGCCACGCCACTTGTCCTTTCACCTGCACTGCTGATTAACCGGAGTTTTCCAGGCAGCTTCTGAAACTGACCGCAGACGTGTGTCCAGAGCCGCGGCTGAGGGCAGCTTTCTCACACCTACACACCGCAGGTCCGCAGCTGACGGGCCGTGCCACACTGGCTGCCGTTCCTTCAGAGCATGTGCTCGGCAGGGAAAGCCCCGTGGTGAGACAGAGCATATGATGCTCCCACGGGGTCACACGACGCCTCCTTCGACAACACTGCTCTAGAATTAAGTTTCATGCGATGCCACTGTTCATTCACTTGCCGCAGAGTTGTTCTCTCTGCCACGTATTCATTCTACAAACAGCCCTGTCCACCAATTCTTTGATAGGAAACGCTAACCTGACAGAGCACCGTCAAAATGAGACACTTGACGTACACAGTTAACTTAGAACATGGCCTGGCACAGCACTATCATCCCTCCATGGAAAGAGAGTTTCTTATGATCCGAAACACAGGTTTCGACCTGTCTTCAGCTAAGTGGCAACTCTGTGGAGTGGGCAACAGGTAGGAGGCAGCGCAGCTAAGGCCAGACTTGCAAAACACAGGCAAAAAAGCACTAAAGGACCTCTGCTATGGGGCCTGCGGGGGGAAGAGTGACTCGGAGCACTCAGAAATTACGGACGACGGCTGAAGAAAGGGATGGAGGTAAGCGCACAGACTTCAAGCTAGACTACAAGGTCACATTAACAAGGCAGAATGGTACTGGAGTAGACGTATGGGCTAGTAGAGAAATGAGAGCCTAGACGTCAACCCAGGAGCCGAGACTATACAATGGAGAAAACCTGGTTACTTACCAAAACATGAAGCCTTACACTGTGTCTCACTACACACAAAAAAGCTAATTAAAAATGTATAGAAGATGGACGGCCTGTGGCACAAGATGTTAAGTCTCAGCACTGTGAAGCTATTGCCAGCCACTGCTGCACGAGTTCGATACCTGGCCAGGGAGGGACCCCAGGGCGCAGCAGGCCTCTCTTGTCCCCCCGCTGCCCCCTCGGACTTCAGCCGCTCCATCTGTTCTGCTCCCCGCTCTGTCTCTGGCCACACACAACCACCCCCGCACCTCTGGCCTGTACCCCACTTCTTGTGTACATAAATAAATGTAATAACTCTTTAAAAATGTATTAAAGACTGGGATGTAAGACTATAAACACAGAAAAAAACACAAACACTTCACAACCCAGAAGAATGTCTTTGGGGTCTCAAAGCCAATGGCAAGGGAAACAAATTTAAACTGAATAAAAAAGCTTTGTACTGCTAAAGAAAGACACCCTACTGAGCGGGAGCAAACAGATGTCTGTCATCCCCCCAACAGCGGGCTAACACCTGAGATCTCCAACAAACTCACAGAACTCAGAAAGTAACTCAGTCAAAAAACAGGCAAAGGGGCAAAGGCACTTTTGCAAAGAAGACAGAGATGGCCAACAGGCACATGAGAAAACGCTCACTTGGCCGGGAAATGCAAGCCCCAGCCACTGTGCGACATCGCCGCCGGCCGTATCAAACACCCAGAAGCGCAAGTGCGGGTGAGACGGGAGAAGGGGCGCCGGCGGCCCAGCCGTGGCAGGGAGAGCACGAGGCCGCAAATACTCAAAGCAGACCTTGCAGCCTCCCTGGGGGCGAGCGGGCTAAAGCACGGCACTATGGAGCTAAAGCCGCGTCAGCACGAGTTCGATCCCTGGCACGCAAGGGCACTACTGGTCCTGGGCGAGACGCCCTGCGCCTGCAAAAGCAGAGCTACGGGGTGAGGGGTGACGCTAAGTGCAGTCAGTCAGCTGTCAGTCAGGAGAAAGGCGCCTCCTGGGGAGCTCCCTCTGAACTGAAACAAACGAGGCAACAGAGAAAAACGGAACAGGCCCTGGCCTGACTGCAGAGCCGGCCTACGGGGGGCGCGCAGCGCCAGTGCGGGCTGGGCTGTGCGGCAGGCACGCTGTGACTGGCGGCCCGAGCCTGGTCCTCTAGCTCACATGCAGTTACTGCGGGGAAGAAAGTCACAGGGAAGCGTCGAGTGGGAGCAGCTGAACTGGCTGAGGCACAGACACATGTTCCTGCGCAGACAGAACGGGTCAGTTCCGGGACGCGGGAGGGCCGGCAGTGTGTGGGGCCGCGAGCACAGGCTGATGGACGACGCGGGGGCAGAGGGGAGCTGGAGACCGCACATGGGGGACAACGCAGGTGCAGAAACAGGCCGCAGAGCCTCAGGCTGCCCAGGCGGCCTCGTGAGAGGGTCAGTCAGAGACTCCCACTAGCCGGGCGCCAATTTGCAGCGTCTCCTGACCACAGCCCCAAAGTATTCTAACGTGCGATGCGCCAAGACTTGGAGTTAAAGGGTGTTCACTGACTAGCTCATCGATTTGCTCCCCTGGCTGGTGGTCAGGGCAATGGTGTGAGGAGGGAGGTGAGGGCCCGACCTTCACGGAACCAGCAGAGCAGAGCCCACGCCCGGGGCACAGGAACCCCACGGGATGCCCCGTGCCCCCGGCAAGGACAGACGTGTGTCCACAGGGAAACATCCAACACCGAGGGAGGCTTTATTGAATGCCGTGCAGACAGGGTGCAGCGGACCCCGTGGGCACAGGCCACGCTCCTAGGTTAAAAGATGTCTGAGGCAGTGAGGGGGTCTCCTCAGATCTGTTCTCCAAATCCCAGGAGTTCTGTGCTCCCCACTCGGAGCGGGTTGGCCTGCTAGCAGCTGGGAGCCGAGCTCCTGTGTCCCTGGGGGACACTTCCAGGAGGTCTCCAGCGCCAGCCGGGCATCAGGCCTTCACCTCACTCATCGCCTCCATCAGGCGAGCGCTGTTGGTGACAGCTGTCGTCAGGAAAATGAACTTGTACCCTGAGGAGGCAAGAGCAGCCGAGATGACAGAACCGTCACACCGCGCCCGCTGGCACCTGGCGCGCGCACGCACGCTCACACACACAGGCTGTGGGGCACCAGGGCAGCCAGGCACACGGACACACACACCCTGGGCTCCCTGCCTGAAGCAAGGGTGCCCAGAGGCCAGCAGGGCAGCCCTGCTCAGCGCGGCCTTTCTCTGGATCCCAGGGGTCCGGGCACCTTCCCATTCGCACTCACCTTTCTCTCGGCCCAGGAAGCGGAGGGCCGAGACCTCTGAGAAGGTGCAGCCCCCCAGGAACACCACCAAGATGAGGCGCAGCGACTCACTGGAAGCCTTGTCATCCTTGGTCACAAGGTCTGAGAGGCCACAGCGGCCTCAGCTCCTGTCCGCCCCGCAGCCCCCTCACCCCTCCACCCCGGCCCCCCCGCCCCGCCCCGGGCCCACCTGTGAACACCAGCTCGCTGCAGTTGAGCAGCCGCACCACCTCGTCCAGGCCCTGCCAGCCCCGCCGCTCCAGGACCTGGGGAGGCCGCCCCCACGTCAGCCAGGAGTGCCAGGCTCACCCAAGACAGGTCAGCCAAGGGCACGGGCAGGTGCGAGCGCCGCGGTGGGAGCAACGGCTCACCTGCTCCACGACGCGGCAGCTGAGGGGCACGTAAGCGCCGCTGAAGACGTAGGCCATGTCCCGCGGCACCCTGAGGTCGTACTCGCCGTCCACACGGGGGATCTGCGGGAGGGCGCAGGGCTGGTGAGACCCGGCTGGCTCGCGAGGGCGGCGGGGCGGCGCGTCCCGACGAGCAGTTCTGCGGCAGCTACAGAGGGAGCGGCAGCGCCCAAGACCGCACTGGGGTCGGATTCACGCGCCGAGTGCCCGCTGCTGCTCTCCGGTGAGCCCCAGGGAGGGCTGGCGCCGGGCCCGAGCCTGTGCCCGCGGCAGCCTCGGCTTGTTCTCCAGCCAGGGCAGACGCCGGCACAGCCTGCTGAAGCGGTGAGCCTGTCGCCTGTCTCGTTTCAAGTTACCACTCTGAGCGTGTCTGCAGCCATCTGTATAAAAACCCAGCGGGCGGGAAGCGAAACAGACCTGACACCCTCTTCCACATACCAAGTTCAGCTTCTTGCTAATGGCACGGAAATTGCTCCTTTTGGCCAGAGAGCTGAAGGCGTCAGTGATCTTTCCTGGGAAAGGAAGCAAGGCTGGGTTTCACCCCAGGGTGCAGACCCTCCCCACCCACAGGCGGCTCCTCTGGCAAGGGCCGGCACCTCCCTTGTCCAACAGCCCAGGCCTGCCCGTTTGGAGCCCTGCGCGCCCCTCCCAGAGCCGCCGAGCAGACAGGCGCCCCCTTCCCGCTAGCGCGGCCCTTTCCTCCAGGCGCCGGTGGCTGGCGAGTCAGCAGGGACTGCCAGGCACGGGCTCGGGGGGCCAACGAGCAGGGTCAGGCTGACACCCTCTGAACGAGCCCCTCAGCCCTCTAAGCCTCAGTCTCCTCGTCTGTAAAAGGGAGATACGAGCATGGCTCCCACAGGCGCCGTGGGGTCAGGAGAGAAAGGCCGGGCTGCGGCAGGCCAGCACTTGGGAGCGGCCTCCCGCCGGAGGACACAGAGCAGCTGCGGTGGAAGGACGGCACCCTCCTTCTGCTCCCGCTCGCCCTGCCGGCGGAGGGCAGGCTCTGACGAGAGGGGCGCCCCCACGCCGCTCACCTGCCGCCTTGTCCGTCACCAGCTTGCTCACTTTACTCTCCATGGCCGTGAGGGTGTCCCCCGGGGCCTGCTCTGTCAGGAGCCCAGCTCGCCGCAGATTGGAGAAGGTCAGCAGGTGCTCAGGGCCGTAGCTCTGGAAAGGCGGATCAGCGACTCACTGAGTGCTCGCCAGGGGCTGGCGCTAGGGCACACCAGGGGAGGCGGGCAGGCTCCGCCCCAGAACACACGCTTGTCTGCACGAAGACGGTCGTGTCAGAAATAACCAGCCGAGAAGGACCTGGGGCCGCAGCCGAGGCCGGGTGGCAGCAGGCAGCTGGCCCGCAGAGGCACCCTGGCTCCGCACAGGCCCAAACTCTGCACAGGCCTCACCTGCAGGTACTGCGTTTTCAGAGACCGGTAGTCCTTGGGGATCAAACCTGTGGGTACAGCAGGGCCAGGGCCAGGGTCAGCGTCAGCTGAGGCGCCCTGAAGTATTGCGCGAGCCAGCCGACCCCGCCCAGAACCCCCACCCAGCAGGAAGGACTCCATCACTGATGCCGATACTGCATCTGGCCTAGAGGGAAGCGCCGGCCTGAGCGCTCAGAGGGGCCCGGCGTGCAGGCGCTGAGGCAGGAACACACAGACGAGGGCTGGCGCGGGAGACAGATGCGGCCGAGGGAGGGGCGCTCTGGGGGCACTCTGAGGGCAGGAAAGGGGCTCAGTGCTGGGTGTTTTCCTCCGGAGAGGTGAGAAGAGATGGCGTTCCGGCCCCAGCAGAGGAGACTGAGAGCAAGTGAATGACTGCTCTGGGTAGAAAGGGTGTTCCGGAAGGGCAAGACGGCCCCGGGAGATGAGCGGCCACGAAAGGCGGCAGCAGCCGGGCTCCCGGAGCTGTTGGCGAAACTGGCTGGGCACCGTCTTTATTAGGAAACCTCAGAGGCGGACGGGAGAGGAGAGAAAGGCAGTCTCTCCGCTGCTGTCCGAAGCCAGCCGGCGCGCTGGCCGGAGACAGAACGACCCAAGGCCAGGGGCAGGCCCCCAGAACAAGCCCTCCAGCCCCAGGGCAGAGTCCGGGCGGCTGAGGGGAGCCCTGTCCGCCTCTAGGCCTGCCTGTCTCCACACGACCCCCTCCCTAAGCGCACCCTGCGGTCCGGTGCCTCCGGGCCTGGGGCTCACCGTTCTCAGTGATGGACAAGAGGCACATGAGGCGGAGGCTCTCCACGGGCGACACCTGCACAGGGGCGGGGTCGCGGAGAGTCAGCTTCCCCTCCTGTCTGCCCAAGGCCGCCCACCCCGGCACCAGCACCCCGCCTGCTGGACAGCGCTGCACGGCTCACCTGCCGGTCTATGTGCTCTTCTATGTAGCTGGTGCTTTCCCGGATGCTGAAGCCCTCCAGCAGTGCTGCGAGTGACCAGAGCAGAGCCTGTTACCGAGGCCAGCGGCGCCTGCAGCGCCATGCTAACGGGGGGGGAGGGAGACGACGACGACGCCCTGGGGCCTGGTGCCGGAGGGCATCTGCGGCCGCCGGAGGGCCGGGACCGAGACCGAGACGCAGGGCTGCGGCTACCGTGCTCCGTCTTGATGAGCTCCTGGAAGTCCTGCTTGGTTTTCCTCTTCATGATGGACTCACAGGCCCCGATATCTGCGGAGAGGGCACAAAGAGCCGCTCTGCGGCCGCGTCGCCGTGTTTCCTGGAAGAGGAACAGCGCAGGCGGCCACGCGGGGCTGGCGCTCAGCCCGCAGACCACGGGCGACGGCCGGCTGGAGCCCGGGCCCTCCCGCCCTGACACCTACGGAGACTCAGCAGGCGGTGCTCCTGCTTCAGGCCCTTGAGCTCCTGGGACACGAAGTTCTTCATCTGCTTGATGTCCATGCCCCTGCGGCGCTGTGGGGACGTCCCATGAGGTCGCCCATCTGCCCGCACATCTGAAGAGCCCTCCCTCGGCTCCCACCCGGGCAGAGAGAAGACAGGGGCCACGTCGTCGGAAGGGGAGGCTGAGAGCAGCCCCGAGCACACAAAGGGGCCGCGCCTGGAGCCTCACGTCATACTGCGCCTGCAGGTTCCGGGCCTTCTGGCTCAAGAAGCTGAAGACGTTGGAGAAGTGCTCGTTCCGAATCTCACTGAACACCTGCGGGGACGCCGAAGGGCCCTTCGTGCGGGGCCAGCGCGGGACAGCAGAGGACGGGGGCCGCTGGCCGGGCTCCGCCCCGGGGGGCGCAGGGTTCTGCCGCTGGCAAGGAGCCCCGGTCTCCTCCCAGCACCAGGCCCGGGGAGGCCACGCTCACCTTGTCCTCAGCATTGAGCAGCACCTTCAGGCTCTTGTCAGAGGAGGTGACCTCCGGGCCGAAGTCCACACTCCCTTTGAGAACAGAAGCCGCGGCTAGCAACCCTGCTCCCCCTCTCCCCAGGCCTCCAAGGTCTCCTGGACTGCAGGGAACCAAGGCAGCTGCTGCTCAGTCTGGGTCCCTCCCCGGCCCCAGCGGGAGCCCCCCGGGCCGTAGACACCGCCATCTTGCCAAGAGGCCACTCACCACACTTGATGCGGAAGGTGTCATCCACCAGGCCCTCGTAGACCACCTGGGAGCAAAGCGCCGTCACAAAGTCCATGTCTGAAACCAAGATCCCCGACCATGAGGCCCCTGACGTGGCTCCTGCCCCGTCTGCTCAAGCGCCTCCCTCGGGCAACGTCGACACGGCGCCCTAAACAAGGCCGCACAGCGCCTCCGGACGCCCGGTCCAGTCCTCTCAGGGGAACAGAGCGCTGTGCACTCACCTCTGTCCAGGAGAAACACGTGCCCAATCTCTGGCCTGCGGCCCTTGGTCTCACCATCCTCCTCCTCTTCCAGTCTCCTCCACAAGTCACGGGCCATCTGCCAGGCCAGAGCTCACTCACCACACTGTGCCCAGCAGCACGGCCCAGGGAGCCAACCCTCCCAGGAGCCGCCACGCCCTGAACCCAAGGCGGGCCAGTAATTACCACTGCCCACACTGCTCCCGCGTTCCCGCCCCTCCCGCCCCACGCCCCTCTGCCGCCACAGGGAAAGATTTGGGAGCGCCACCCGGGAGGCCCCGCGCTGGCTGGCTGCTATAGCCACACACACTCTCCTCTATTCTGCAGCAACAGAAGCCGGGGCCAGTCAAGCCATGGTAGACAGAGGACAGGAGGGGCAGGTCGCCGGCCACAGCGCAGCCAGCCTCACCTTGGCACACCTGCCGATTCCGTAGCAGTTGGAGAAGGGCCCATAGAGCGTGCTGAGGAGGTGCAGGGCCTGGGCCACCGTGTTGATCCAGCGCTGGTCCCCCTCCTGCAGGACCGCGTGGACCAGCCCTGGCTCAGCCCACAGCCCTCCAGAAGGCGGCTACTTCCAGCAGCCCCGAGCAAGAGGGCGGGTCTGGGAAGTCCCTGGGCTGGCGGTCAGGTCAGTCTCCAACTCACTCGTCCTCAACGACGAGTTGGATGCAGGTGACATCAACGTCTCCAGCCCCCCAAACCCCGATACCAAGTCCTGAGGGCCCTGTGCTCACCAGGAAGTAGTCCCTGAAAAATTCCGGGAGCTCCATACTGAGCAGGTCCACATCCAGAGGCAGCAGGGAGAAGGCCCACTCGTCACAGCTCACGTCTGCGGGTTCGCGCGCGTCAGCCCGTGGCGGCCGGGCCCCAGGCGGGAAGGGCGCCTGCGCCAGCCGCCCCGCACAGGACCCAGAGCGCGCAGCTCTGCCCCGGGGGCTCCGCGCGGTAGCGCAGGGGCGTGCTCGCCACAGCCGGGGACACAGGCCGAGGGCGGGTCCTCGCTACGTGCCAGCCAACCAACCCAGCGGCTCACCAGTCGGCACTGGGTGCCTGCCGGACGCTGCTTGGGGCAGGTGGGCACACACGCGAGCGAGCTGCGGTACATGGCCGACACCTGAGCGTGCGAGCACTCGTGCCACAGCAGCATGGCAGGAGGCCGGGGAGGCAGGAGGGGGCGGCCAGGGCAAGCGCAGCGGGGCGTGCACTGTGCCACTGCAGGGCTGCGGGGAGGGGCCACGGGGCTGGGGGAGGGTGCAGTGCAGACACTGCCGGGCGCAGGTGGGGGGCAGGGCTCTCGCGGCAGTTTGCAGGAAGACGGAGCAGCGGTCACTCCCAGCTGAAGGCCCGGCACCCACCCACGCCCCCGCTGGTGCGGATGCCAGTCCTGCTCCCACCCCAACCCTCAGCACCTCTCCGGCGAGGTGCAGGGCGCCTCCATCCTCATCCTCTCACCTCCATAGACACCCTCCTCCTCCAGCACCATCTCACAGGCGTAAAACTGGAAGAGAAAGGGAGTCGATGAGCGCCCCCCCCCCATGCGCTCTCTGCTCCCCTGGCGCCCAGTGCTGGCTGGAGAGGCAGCGCTCAGGGCGGGAGAGGACCAGAGAACCCAGCTGTGATCGCGGCAGGACCCGGCCCAGCGCAGGACGCTCCGTTTGGCTCACCCACCCACGTCCTGCGCGTGACGCTGGCCGCTTTCTTCCCAGAGCGCCGAGCCCGGCCGTGTGGGTGGCGGCGGGGCCTGGCTCGGAGGCCGGGCCTGCCCCTCTCCAAGCACCCCCCACTGGGCCCACACTCACCTTCTGCGGGCTGAAGATCACTTTGTACTTCCGAGCCCGGCCGGCCAACTTGTCGGCATTGACAAGACCTGCAGGCAGACGGAGCGCCGGCCGCTGGTCAGACGAGACAGCGCGCAGCGCGGCCGCCGAGGTGCGGCGCCGAACAGCCCCTCTGCCCGGGTCCTGGCAGCCTGTGCACACGCAGAGCCGCCGGCCTGTGCCCAGCCACTGCCACCTACTCACCGGCGATGAACCGCATGTTCCGGATGCGCGGCCTGACCAAGAAGCACAGTCTGGGGCAGAGAAGGGAAGTCACGACGTCAGTGGGGCGGAGTGCAAGAAAGTGGAACAACACTGCGCCTTCCCCCTCGCCCCTCCCGACGGGGCCCTTCTCGTCTGAGCCAAGGGCCCTCGTATGGCAGGCACCGGGCCGAGCTGCGGCAGTCGTGGCCCTGGGGCACCCAGAGTTCCTGTTCCCAGTCAGCAAGCTCTCGGGCTAAGTAAGAGGCAGACACGGAGAGCGCCACGGGCAAGGCCGAACCCCATGTGTCTAAGGAAGTGGCCGGAGCGGGCCTCCTCAGTGCGGCCCTGGCCCTGGGAGTCTTCTCCTCGAAAGGAGGTGCACACTGCTTCCGTTTGAGATACACAAAAGAAAGCCAAAACCCAGACGGTGGGCAGTGGGTGGCTGGGCTGAGCGGGCGTTCTCAGCTGAGCCCCACCCTGCTCCTGACGGGGGGTGCTGGGGTGAGGCCGAGCATGTGGCCGGGAGCACCTGGGTGCACGGGTCAGGCAGAGGCGCCACATGAGGCCTGCTGGACACAGCCTTGGACTCTGAGCTGGACAAATTGACTGGTCACTTGCGGGAAGCCTAGCAAGCCCTTGAGGCGAGCACAACGCAAGAATTTCTGAAGGACGGATCAGTCTGGCTGGAGTCAGGAGAAGGAGACGGGAGCAGAAAGCGGGAGGAAGTGCAGGAAGGAGCCCAACAGCGGCGAAGGCTACCGAGGCACAGGGAAGAGGCCGGCAGCCAGCGCCTAGGGCCTGACGCAGGCGGGACACGCCGCGGCAAGCATGCTGGGGCCTGGGGCTGGGAGCTGAGGCAGGCCCCGAGACACTCACTGCTCGCTGGAGCTGAGGGCCGGCTTGTTCTCCACCTTGTACAGCTTGTCCACTTCGTGTTGCTACAGAGAAGAGCCAATGAGACAATGTCCTTGGGGTGCTGGCAGCCAGGGCCTCAGGCAGCCCAGTGCTGACTCTGGGCCGGAACTGGCCCCCGTAAGTCCCCAACCCCCACGAAGCCAGCCTCAAACGGTCAGTAGGAAAACCCAAACCACGCCTGTCCGAATAATGCCCTCTGCCCACGCGGCGGCGCCGGCATTACCCAGCAGGGCAGACACTGTTGGAAGGGTAACTGTTTCTCGGGGGCCCCCCAAGCCGCCAGGAAGGGCTGTTACCTTCAGGATAGAGACGTTGGCAATTCGATCCAGAGGGCTCATGAGATCTGCCTCGATGAACAAGTCCTTTTTTCCAGGAAGCTGAAGGAGACACAGTACCCGGGGTCACGCCCAGGTCACACTGCTCCCCGTGTGGGGAGCGCGTCCACTGCCTGGGTCCTTACAGGCCTCTCTGCACGCTCACTATGGCCGCTGCTTCTCACTCTCCGCACTCGCCTCCCCCTCAAGCCTCACACCTTGCCACCAGCCCGTGCACCCGTGCCCTCGCTGGGCTTCGCTGCCCCCTTCCTCCACCACCTCCTCCCAGCACTCTGGCCTCGGCCAGCGTCCGGTGAGGCGGCCCGTGGGTCGGCAGGGAGGGGGGAGTCACTGCTCGTCTCTCTCCTCTAGGCCTTGACAGGGTGGGAGCCGCCAGTTCGGCCTCCTGAGGCCGGCCTAGCAGTCGGGGGAGAGCGGCCGAGTGGTGAGCGTGTCCAGCCATTCAGCTTGGCCTACGCAGGACGTGTAGGGCATGTGGGTTCTCAGCCAGGGAGGAGGGACACCGTCTGGAGACGCTGCCCCTCATCTGACAGGGCAGGGGTGTCAGCGCCCGCGATGCACAGGGCGGCCCTCAACAAAGAACCTGCCGCTCGGGGGGTGGCGCCTGTGGGGCTGGGCACTGGCTGTGGGGGCCGCACAGTCCTGCAAGCAGATAACTGGGGCACGAGGCCAGGCACAGGAGCCCGGCGCCGATCCGCCGTGGGACGGGGCCGTCAGGAAGCCTGTGCACCGCAGCATCCCAAGCAGAGGGCGCTTTAGGTCGATGACTCCAGGACTGGCAGGTAAAGTTCGGGAGCGAGGAGTCCACTTATGGGTTCCACGCAGCCAGACGTGTGGCCATGAGAGAGGACAAACAAACAAAAATAGGCTATTTAAGAAAAAGCTGGATACTCGAATGCAACGAGCAGCGTTAACAGTGCTTGTATCTGATGGTAGGATCGAGGGTGACTTCTTTCACTGCATTTTTTTTTTTGGCATCCACATTTTCCAGTGTGAGATGTTTCGTGGTCACTATCAGGAAGGTGAGGAGTAAGGAAACAGCCAGAGGACTTAACCTCAAGGCGGGGCTGGCAGACAAGGACGCAGCTGTCCCCTCTGGTGTGCGAGGTATTACTGCGCAGAAACCACCCAGGCCGGGCTCTGCCCCCGAGGGCATTTCCGCAGTCGCCTGCCGCCATTACACATTTCTGTGCTTGGTCTCCCCACACCCAGTGACTTTTTAACTGGAAACCTCTGTGCTAGCACTGACGTGGTCCAGGCCCCCTGTAGTTCTCTCCAGCTCCCCTCCTCACCTGTTCAATGTTCTTACCAGCGGGAGGCTACCCACTGCTTCTCTGACTGGCACCTCAATGTCTCCCTAACTAAACCCAAACTAAGCAACATTCCCCACTGGACCCGCCCCTCACATTCTTTTTGGCTCAATCCCTTGCAGTGTTCACACAGCAAATACTTATTAAGTACACGCTACCCGCCTGATTCCTGGTGAGGAGCCCCCGGCTGTACACGGTACTGGACAAAACATGTGTTCGCTGTCCTCTGCACCCCCAGCCCAGGGGGGATCATGAGCAGCAGACAGCAGAGCGTGTAACCCACTCCCACTCCCAGCAACAGTTTTACTGCGAGCCCCAGACACAGCCTCAGCCTTAGTCTTCTGCGGCCTTCACAGCCCAGTGGCAAGTCGCCCACGGGGCCTCAAAACCCCGCTTCCCTTACTCCCCAAGCTGCTGGCCTTGGTGGGCTTGACCACTTCGGCCGGCTCTGCGGCCTGACGCGGCCTCTTGCCCACTCACCCCACTGCACAAGGCTGTTAGGAGCCGCCTCAGGGTCAGCGGGGTCTGCCGGACGCTGCTCACTGGGCAACTGCCCGCGGCTGTCCCTTAGGCCCTGGCTACCACGCCAGGGTAGGTCAGTGCGTGGGTTCGGGTCCGACCGCGGGCAGTCCCCCACCCGCGGCCCTTCCCGTGCCCAGTGAGGCCTGGCCCGCCGGTGTCTCCCGCCGGTGGCTCGGGTGAACACTGCTTCAGGTCCCCTGCAGCGCCGGCTGCCTCTGCTGTCCCTCCGCGGGGGCCTCGTTCTGGCTCGCAGAGACGCGCCACGGCCAGCATTCTGGCGGAGAAGCAGGCCCTCGGGCTGGGCCGGGAAGCGCGAGAGGTCCGGCAGTGCAGAGCGGCCGGTGCCGCGAAGGCCGGGCGCGGCGGCACTACCTGCTCCAGAATGTAGATGAGCTGGTCCCGGGCCAGCCTCTTGAGCATGGAGAAGTCGGGCAGCTCGGGGGCGTCGGGCCGGTGCGGGAACGCCA